GTATTTTTACCGTCTTTATTTTACAGTTAAAATATATGTTTATCAAATAAAGTCTAATGTTACAACTAATCATGGATCCCTTTAAAAATAAAAAACTAAGAGCTTGTAAACGTTTTACTAAACATTTTAATATTTTTGAAGATGCAAAGTTTTTTCTTCACACAGTGACAATAGAAACCAGAGGAACGGCACTGGCATTGTGGGCCCAGCTCTTTGACTTTGTTCCTGCTCCTGTCATGTTCACACTTGTTTAATGTGTTGTTGTTGAGTCTGAGAGTCACCGGCCACTTTTTTTATGGTTTTTGGTTGCAGGGTCAGATCCTGGACCACAGGGTGAGGGGATAGTGACATCACAATCCCGGTGTTCTAGTAAGGCCAAGGGAAGCCCAGCTCCTCACCTGGTAACCCAAGCGGAGACTCCGCCCACTTCTTCACAGGACGGCTACGTTAGTTCTGCTGTTTTTAGAACAGTCATGCAGAACAGAGAAGCATTATTTTATTTTTGATGGCAATGTTGTAGCAATACTGACAAAAAGTTGTAGTTTGTGTAAATAATTTCACCATGGACTACTTTGGAAACTACTACCAGCAGGATTTACCCAAGGACTTTCTACTGAAATGAAACGTCTGTCCCTGTTGTTCCTCACAAATCTGCAGATGATGGCAGTAAGTGATGTGTTGTGAGTTTGGTGTTGCTGTTGCTTCGGTATGAACAGGATTTGTCATTTAGCGCAAACTAATGTTGACCGCACTGCTGGGATCGACTACCGAGGCGGCGAGTCCCTTCGCCGTTCCCCCTCCACCTGGGAAAGTGCGTTTGCTTCTCCGGGCACCAGTCTGTCACTCTCCCCTGGAGTAGCCGCACAGCGCAGGGTGCTTCGTCATCAACAGATTCAGCTGCGTGCAGTGCAACCACTCACTGGAGCATCTGACCGAAGTCATGCACCTTGATGCTGGGGAGGCCAGCATGTGTTGTAGCCCCTCGGTTCGTCTTCACCAGCTCCAGAAATTGGCTGAGGATGTGTGTGTTTGCCTCCCCAGTAACAAAACGCCTGACTTCAGTCAAACGCTACAGTCTTAAGTTCTAACATGAATGCCATGTTGGGAGGACGGAGTTAATGTAAACAAAAGGTTGGGAGGGGGTTTCCAAAAGCAACTTATGCCGAACAGCTCAATGTGAAGAAAGATACAGGTGCTGGTCATAAAATTAGAATATCATGAAAAAGT